AGCACACTCGCCTCAATTCCCCAGGCGGGCGAAACCTTAGGCAAATTTCCTTGCTCGACACAACTCTGTTTACCTAGTAGTAAGTAGGAACTCGATTGATGGATTGCTTTCAGTAATAATCCTTCCCCAAAAATAAATAAATGAAGGTGGTCAACAACAATAACTTCCATTTATATAGCGCCCTTCATGCGGGGTAGCGCCCTGGAGCGCATCATAGTGACGGAGTCTGACTTCAGTCACTCACTTCATGACTGTTTGTGGAACGCTTCTGTGTGCAATTGGCTGCTGTGTTTGCCCACAAAATACACAGTCAATCCACTTAGACAATATATTCTGTGAAGCGCTTTGACACGTCTCAACTATGTGATAAGGCGCTATATCAAATGCCAGGATTATTATTATTGTTATTTTAGCCACACACCCGTTGTCTTAAAATGTAAGAATGTTGGAATTTTAAAAAATCTTAAACATTGTTCCCACAATAAACTACGGAAAAAAAAACTTACAAGCTTACAAATTTAAGAAATGTTCAAATTTCTGCAAAATCTTAAATATTAAGACACTGATCTTAAAACAAATGGAAACCACACATATACAGAACTCTCAGTCTGGGTTGGATACTATTAAGCATGATATTGGAGTTTCCACATGTGTCAGACACCCGTTGAACAAAAAAATCTTGAGACAAAAATTTCAGACCTCAAAGAATAATTGTGTGCAAGATGTACTGGAAGCAGGGATTCTTCCTACTTCTTAATCTGGACAAGCCAAATGCACAATGGGTAAATTAATCCGAGCTGGTCAATCAGCAGAAAGCTTGCCAGACAGTTCTCCAAAATGCAAGTTCTGCAGATTCAGCTAGTTCAACTCTAGCAGTTATCCCCAATGCCCATTCTGGGGTCCCCAAGCCTTGTTTCTCGCCAACATCTGCCTAATAGTCTTAAAAATTAGATAAACAGGTGCAGCCGTCCGGGGAGTATGTGCACATTTCATTGCAGACACGGGAGTTTTCAGGGGGCATACATACCTGGAACTCTCAGTTTGGTTTGGAAAAAAAAATCTAATCTTTCAAACACAAATTAGATTAGGAAAAAACATTACCGGATACAGTACATAGGTAGGTTGAGACATATGTGTATGCGACCACCAGGAAGGTGGAAGACAAACTAGATGGATCTTGGTCTTTTTTCGTCAAGCATTTCTTATGTTCTTATGGATCCTCTGAAGCACGATGATGGGTTTCTGTACCCAGCTGACCAAAGGAAAAAGCGAGACATGTGTGCTGGTTTAGAATAGCAAAGGCTGTCAAGTTTCCCCAATGGTAGACACACTGGCAGATGCAGTTCAATCCATACTGACTGGAGGAATCACAGTCAAAATGTACTGAGTTAGCTGATTTCACGGGGTAGCAGTTTGGACTGTAATTGGCCTCAGTGGACCTGAGCTAGGGAGGGGAACATCAGCTAGGTCTTGCTCTTGATTATTAATTATCCAAAGACTAGATCTGGAAGGTGTGTCTGTGAATGTGTATGTGAGTGTATGTGTGCGTGGATGACAGGTGAGGACAGTTTAGGGTCAGCTGATGTTTTACAACTTCCTAAATTCAGCTTTAATTATTCAGAGAGCAAATGTTCTGTCGTTCTTAAACACAGCCTTCTCCTAAATCAAGACTGAACCTCTGTGGTCTCACTGGATGGATTATTGGCGCAATTTACTTTACTCGCTCTATAATTATAATAATATTTACATTTGATACAGTATCTTTCACATCAGGAGGATGCCTCAAAGCTCTTCACAGACTGTGAAGTGTTATGGCTGTGTTTTGTAGGTGAAATCAGCAGCCAATTTGCATGCAGCAGTGTCCCACAAATGGCCATGAAGTGAATGGCCAATTTTATTTGGGCGATTCTTTCCCAGGACACTGGGAGAAACTCTGTTCTTTGCCTCAATCCATCTACCTTGCCCCCTCCTTGTCTGTCTCCAGATCATACCTGAAGACCTTTCTCTTTGACCGTGGCCATAGTCATCTCCCATCTCTCCCTAGTTCAGGATCAAGCTCCGCCACTGTTAAGTTCTCCGAGACACTACTTAGCGTGAAGGGCGCTGTATAAATGCAACTTGTCTAACTTTCCAGCACCTTACAACATCCTCTTGACGTGAAAGGCGCTATACAAATGTAATTTTATTGTTGTCCTCGTATTTTACGGGATCAATTGATTTATATGCATGACTAGCATGAAATACTTGCAATTAAGTCTTAATCAGTGGGTCTTATCTCATTCCTACATAAAAGTGAGTCACATTCCCAAAGAGAGATGGGAGACTGTGCCTCTGAACACATACTGCATAAGCATCGCCCGTTAATCCTTCCCTCACTTTCTGCTGGCAATGAGCTTCTTTATTCTACTACTACATGGAGTCCTGTAGCTCAGTGGTTAGAGCACTCGCTTTGCAAGCAAGAGACCTAAGTTCAATTCCAGGCAGAGGGCGAAACCTTGGGCAAGTTTCCTTACTCCACACAGAGCCTAATAATAATCCCTCCAAAACCAAAAACAATAATAAATTGGTCATTTTCAATCTACGACTGTTTGTGGGACATTGCTGAGCGCAATTGGCTGCCGCGTTCGCCCACAAATATACAGTCAATTCACTTTACAGTGTGTTTTGTGAAGCGCTTTGGGAGGTCCTCCCGAAGTGAAAAGTGCTATATCAAATGCAAGGATTATTATTATTATTATATATGAAAAATATTATTATAACGCTTGTAATTTAATACAGAGCCTATAACATCAAAACACTTATAGAAAGGTTAGTGACTGTGCATTTGTAGAAAAATGCAGTGGCCAATTTGCACACAGTAAGTTCCCACAAACATTCAGTGATCAACTTTTTTCTTTCAATTGGAAGCTACGTGGTTTTAGCTGGTTGAACTCCAGCAGTTTCCCCAATGCACACTGGGGTCCCCAAGCCTTGGCAATCTGCACCTAATACTCTCTGGGATTAGGTAAACAGGATGCACTCCTCAAGGGAGAGGGTGCACCTTCTATTCCAGCACAGGAATTTTCATGTGTAGGTGGGATGCATGGAATTATCAATCTGGTTTGGATACACTTAAGCGTGGTGATGGGTTTCCACATGCTTCCACCAAAAGAAATGACCAATAGATAGCACCTCCAACAATGCGCACTTCCCTAGTGCTACACTGAAGTGCTGGCTTAGACAAAACTAAATTCTAACACAGGTGTTGAGTCTACTTTTATCTGTCTTATATCTGGCTACACTTCAGTATGGTGCTGGGGGAACACTACCTTGTCAGAAGTTCTGTCCTTTGGAAGAGATGTTCAACTGAGGCCCTGTCTGGAGGGTATAAAAAAGATTTCATACCACTATTCACAAAAAGAAGGTAGTTTTTCCTGGTGTCCTGGCCAACAATAACCCACGTATAAATTGGTCATTCACTTCATTGCTGTGCACAATTGGTTGCCAGAATTGCCTCCAAAATACAGTCACTACACTTTACAGTAAATCATTTGAGACATCTTGTCGACAAGCTTAAACAACAACTTACATTTATATAACACCCTTCATGTGGGCAAGCATCTCAGAGCACTTAACAGTGGCAGAACCTGACGCCAAGCCAGGGGAGGGAGGAGGTGACCGAGCGGAGACAGCGGGTAGTGGGGAGTAAGGTTGGAAAGGTAGGGAGTTGCCAGGGTTTGAAGGGATTTACAGACGATTTTACAGATGACACGATATCAAAAGCAAGGATTATTATATGTATTAAAGGCAAGAGTGCTGCCCACAGACCAAACCTGACACATGATTGAAAGACAAGCAAAGAGTTAAATGTAAAAGTCAACTGGAAAGTATTTGAAGAGAAGGATTATATCAGTGTGTGGGAAAGAGCAGAGAATTGGGATTAAATCGGATGATATCAGTGGGGGAGCGCAGTTATGCTGAGCCCAATGGGCTCCGGCTGGGCTGTGCTTGCTGTGGTTCTATGAATATCTCACGTTTTACTCAGTCTGAGGGAAGTCTGCCTTGTCTGGTCTTTTCAGGTCTCTCGGCAGCTTGATGGCATGAAATGTTTCCCATACCTAACCAGCTTTTATTTTTTAAAAGAAATCATTCCAAAAGCCCAAATTGTATAGTAGCTTCAATTCTAATCAGAGAACAGTATTAAATTTAGATTGCCTTTCAATCCAGGCTGAGTGAGTGACTTGGCTTCCTAATGCCATCCGCAACAGAAGTGCTTCCAGTTCCAAACACAGTATTAAACCCGTTTCGAAACAGCTGTTGCTTCTGTAGGCTTTTTGGTAATCATCCCACTTAATTGGCTATGAAGAATTCAAAATAGATTTCAAAGAAGATGCAAACAGGATCTTTGACACTTCAAAAGTTTCTCTCCCCCCCCGAATAAGTGACTGATGACTCTTAATGCGCTGTTAGAGTTAATTCCTTTCACTTCTGTGTCACTGCAGAGGTCTTTGTTTCCTGTTTGTGCTCAATCAAAGGAGAACTTTACATTTATAGCACCTTACATGGTGACATGTCTCAAAGCTCCAATGTAGTTAAGAGGAATCTTGATAGATACAGGAGGGAGCAGGGAGTAAAGGGGTATTGAGAGGGGAGTAGGAGATGTGGAGGCTTGTCTGGATTATAAACATTGGCACAGACTGGTTGGTCTGTTTCTGTGCATTATCATTCAATGGGATTATTGCCAGTCTCATTGAATGATAACCCTGTGTGCTGAACTAACCAACTCTTCCTTCCACAATCTGCTAATTATTCAGAACTCTGCAGCTCATGTCCTCTCCCACACCAGGCTCCGTGAGCCGATCACCTCCAGAGGATCAAGTTGAAGATCCTGTTCCTCACCTTTAAAGCTGGTGGATGGAAGGAAAGCAAGGAAGACCTTTACTTTGAAGGGGGCTGAGGGGGAAGGTAAAGGAATGCACGGAGCCAAAGGAAAACCCTGACTTGAACTGTTTGTTTTTCAGTGTCCCGATTCGGCTTGCAAGCAGGATTTGCTGGCGTACTTGCAACGCATCGCACTCTACTGTCACCAGCTCAACATCTGCAGCAAAGTCAAAGCAGAGGTCCAGAACCTGGGTGGAGAGCTGATTGTGTCTGGGGTAAGCAGCACAAGGAAATTCTTATTGCTCTCCAGCTTAATTCTGACAAGATGGCTAAAAAATATGGAGTCCTTTAGCACAGGGGTTAGAGCACTCACCTCATAAGCGAGATGACCTAGGTTCTCTTCCTGGGTAGGGCAAAACCTTGGGCAAGTTTTCTTACTCCACACGCCTGTTTACCTAGCAGTAAGTAGGAATCTGGTGGTGAGTCGATTGGTGGATAGCTTTTCCAAGGGTAACAGTCTTCCAAAAAAAATGTAAAAAAATAATAAATTGGTCAATCAATCCACAACTGTTTGTGGGATACTGCTGTGCACAATTGGCTGCTGCGTTCACCCGCAAATATACAGTTACTACATTTTACAGTATATTCTGTATACTGTATTCTGTGCTCAAAGAAGCACTTTGAGACATCTCAACTATATAATAAGGCGCTATATCAAATGCAAGGATTATTATTGTTATTAAATTTACTCTCAATTTAGAGGCTGGGTTTCACTCCAAATTTGAACCCTTAAACGTTAAGGCTAATACTGAGGTCTAAAGGGCATGAAATGTTTAAACGATAACACTGTCTCTCTCCCTCTCTCTCTCTTCCCCCCTGCCCCACTCCCTCGCCCCACCACCAGATCTTTCTAGTCATAGCACACTTCTCTAAGGCACATCTGCGAGAGATTAAAAAAAATTGTCTAACAAAGCCAGTGACCTCATTAAAATGTGCTCGAGGAATGTTAAATCGGAGAAAGTGAGATTATGTCATATTTCACACTTGTCTGGATTTTATGTCTGAGCCGCACCAGGTTTTCCAGTGATGGATGTGTCAGACTTGCCATAGCTCAATTGTGACGCAATGTAAAGGCATGCGATCTCAATCCCTCTTACCAATAAAGGACAAGAGAACATTAATTACAGGAGCGGAGGCTGGATGTGAACTGTGATGGTGTTGATAGCACCTTGACTGAGAGCTGAAGAGCTGGTCTTTTACTGATCCATTAGCAGAGTAGAGTCCTGTAGCGTAGTGGTTAGAGCATTTGTTAGAGTGAGAGGACTCGCTTACCTCTTTTTACCTAACAGTCAGTAGGAACCCAGTTGTTAGTCGATTGGCGGAACGCTTCCTGGGGTAATAATCCCTCCAAAAATTATGGTCACTCGCTCAATCCACCCTGTTTATGGGACACTGCTCTTCCCAATTGGCTGCTGTGCCTCTGCTCTCAAAACACACAATCACACAAAACACACACACTTTACAATATGAAGCGCTTCAAGTCAGTTCAACGATGTGACAAGGGCTATATTAAATGCAAGGATTAGTATTATAACATGGGGCCTTCAGTGTGTGTGTTTGTGTGTATTTTTAAAAGTGCCTCCTGTTCACACCAACAGTGACACTGTGAAGCCCTCGCTTACTTTCTTCCTGATCTGTGAGACTTCAGTGTCGTTGCCTGGATATCACACAGAACCATTGGATTTTACAGAACAGCACAGGAGGAGGCCATACACCCCATTGTGCCTGCACTAGCAGCTCTCTGAAAGTCATCCCACTTCGCTGCCCTTTCCTCACACTCATTCACTTATTTCTGGAGGGTTCAAGCCCCATTTCCTGACTTTCACAGCCTAGGTTGACGTTACTACAGTGTTGGGAGTGTGCTGCATTGTTGGAGGTGACATCTTTTGGATGAGACGTTAAACCAAGGACCCGTCTGCCTGTTCATGTAGATGTTAAAGATCCCATGACATATTTGAAAAGAGAAGCAAGTTTCTTCCGGTGTCCTGGCCATCAATCCCCCAAATAAAATTGATCATTCACTGGGACATTGCAGTGTCCTAAAAATAACAATAATAATCCTTCCAGTTGATATAGCACCTTATCACATTGTTGAGATTTCTCAAAGCACTCACATTGGAAATTAAACCCAGGTCCATTCACTTGCGAGGAGAGCGAACTAAGTACTCCGCAAATACATGGCCTACACCACACTTCACAGTAAAATCCTGTGAAGTGCTTTGAGACGTCTCAATGATGTGATAATATGTCTTTAATTCCCTTTTCAAAGCTATTATGGATTCTGCTTCTACCACTGTGTTTGGTAGTGTATGCCCTAGTAAGGCTCTATAGTATGCATAAAATAATTCTCCTAAACAATCTTCTCTTTGGTAATGTTTTTAAATTGATGCCCTAATGCTATTCTAACAAACCTTGGTGTAAAAATATATAACGCATCTCTTTTCTCCTGATGATTATCCTCAATTTATACCTTGCTGTTGCTCATTCACCGAACAGTGGAAACCTTTCTCTAGTTATCCTGTCAAAACTATTCATGAATTTGATTGTCTGGCAGATTCCCTTCTAACCATCTCTGTTCCAGTGAAAACTGTTCCAACTTTTCAAGACTCTTAAATGGAACAAAAACCTGTCACCTCTTGTATCATCTCAGTAAATCTCCCTATGGCTGTGGTATGAGCTCTCATGAGGTGGCCAGCAAAAGGTAGGGCTGGACAAGCAGCAGGAAGCTTGCCAGTCAGTGCTCTCAATGGCAAGTTGTATAGTTAACCCTTATTAGTTGCCCCAACACACACTGGTGTCCTTGCTCTTGCTAACCTGAACCCCGGAATTAGGAGAGCATGTCGAGTCCCTATGAGAAGAGAGAATTTGCATTCCATTCCAGACACAAGGAAATTTCCAATGTGTAGGTGGCATGATGCATGGAACTCTCAGTCTAGTTTGGGTACTCTTAAGCAAGGTGATGGGTTTCCAAATGTATCAGACACCCGGCTGAACAAATAATCAACTATGACTCAGGTGCGCTTTCCATAGTGAGAATTTAACAGTAACCTTGCATAAAATTGAGTCAACGTCTTTATAAGTTGCATTAAATTAATATTCCACAAACTGGCACAGAACTGCTGGCAATCCATTGTCCACAGAGATCACCCATCAGCTCAGTAACTGAGACAAGAGACCTTGGGTGCAATAAATTAGTATCATTATATTGGATATTGCGCCTTTCACATCAGGAGGACGTCTCAAAGCCCTTCACAGGATTTACTGTAAAGTATAGTGACTATCTTTTTAGACAAACAAAGGAGCCTATATGTGCATGTGAGAAGCCATGGAGTGACCAATTTTATTTGGGGAATTCGAGAAACTTGTTTCTCATTTTGAATAGTGCCATGGGATCTTTAACATCCACCTTAATGGCCACAGAGAGGACCTCAGCTTAACATCCCATCAAAAGACAATATTGCTCTGCCCTGAATATTGATTTCAACACTCGTTTAACAATTATAAGTTTGCGATTTTAATTGGTAAAAATTGTTACTTTTTTTGACATTTTATAAAGCATGGGCGATCTCTGGATCGTAAGGTTACTACTCATGTCACTTTCTCCACCTGCAGCTTTGATCACATCACCTCCTGTGTTAAATATGCATTTTTAAAAATCCCCCCCAATCAAAGGTAAAATAAATGTCGATATTATCCATCAAAACTAAAAAAACAAAAAACAGAAACACTTATGATTAACTACCGAAAGGCAACATAGCACACTGTCACCCATCAGTAAAGGGAAACAGATATCTTTCTATAGATGGTCTGACTTATCAGCACTCTTGTCACCTTCTCACTCATCATGGCAGCGATCTCCTTCACTCCTCAGAGTTCTATAGATTTTCCTCTCAAATCCCTTGATGGCATCTGATTGACTGTGATTCACTCTAACACTTTATTATTCCCTCTGACAGGCTCCGATTCACTTGGCTATGCTTCAGTTCATCTCTCATTCTATCTTGCAGTCTACAATTCACACCAAAAAAGTGATTAATTCACTTCACTGCTGTTCTGGTGCTCGCTGAATGCCTGGAATTGATTTACAACAAATGATAATTAAGGAAGAAGGGAAAAAAATAAATGCTCTGTAGAGAGCCTCCCACTGGCCAAGTGTGTAATTAACACCATTTGGTGTCTTATTAAAATACTATCTGCCGGCCTGGCTCAAGAGGTGTCACTTTTGCTTCTGAGTCAGATACTTGTAGGTTCAAGCCCTACATCAGGACTTTGAACTCATAGTCTTGGCTGACACTCCAATGTAGTACTTGGGATGTGCTGCATTGTTAATGGTGCCATCCTTTGGGTGAGACTTTGACCTATGATCCTTGTCTGCCTATTCAGGTGGATGTTAAAGATACCATTAAAAATACCATGGCTCTTCTATTCAAAAAGCGAAGGAGGTTTCTCCCAGTGTACTGGCCAACAATCACCCAGATAAACAAATGAACATTTATGTGCATAGATTGGCAGTCATGTTTGCCCACCTTCAAATCATACCAGAAGACTTTCTTCTTCAACCTTGAGTTCAGTCACCTCCCCTTTCTTTCTAGCTCGGTGGCAAACCACACCACTGTTAAGCACTGTGTGAAGTGCTTGCGTGAAGGGTCCTGTATAAATGCGAGTTGTTGTTGTTAAGAGGTGCAAAAATGGAGAAGGATCGTGCCCGCAGACTATGCCATGCGGACAGGAGGAATGCCCCTCTCGTCTGCCTCGGTTTATAGTTCCTTTTTCATCAGCTCCCACTGTTAAGATTCACACAACTTTAAACAAATCCCTTTTCATGTTTCTCCTAACACGGCGCCTCCTGGGAGCCTATTAAACTATCAAAATGTCATGTCTCTCTTGTGAAAGAGCTAGCCAGAGCCACATGAAGCACTTTTCATTCTCAGAAGGACAACATTGGAGTTGCTCTTTTCTTCATTCTCCTGCAACTTGTGACTTACTGTACCTTCATACAAATGCATAATGTGTAAATCAGCGATACTACAGACTGATCATTGCCTTTCCCCACCTACGTTTGTCATATTGATGGGCGAACACACATTATTCCTTTCAGCCAGTCAAGGTCAGGTTGCTTGTAGGGAGGTCTTTGCTCGACAAGACAAAACTGTTTTAATCAAAGTGACCTCCTCCCCCGACCCCACCTCCGTGCTCTCTTTCTTCAATTTTGGTC